CACTTTGAATCATAAAAACATAAATAGTTTAAAGTTTACAAAACAATTGGTTAACCTTAATAACAATCATGTCAATTTCGGCACTTTCAACTTTTGACAAATTCCTTAAAGTCTAGAACCCTATTTTGGCACATTTTCTTTTGGCACCCAACCTTGACTTAGATTGATGTCCTTTTTATAGGAAATACATAAGATTGATAATATAAATAATAATATAAACTAATATAAATAATAAACAATAATATAAATATAATTAAAGATGGCTCTGCAACTAGGAAGTTGTAACCCAAAAAAATATTGACATCTAATGCTGCAACCACTGTAAATCTGCAATTGCTGTAAATGTCTGCAAATGTCTGTAATTGTATGCAACTTCTGGTTGGTCAGCTACTTCAATCACTATAAAACTGAATTTATTTTTATCAAAAAAAATTTTTTAATTAATGATTTTATTTAAAAACAATAATCCCATTTTCCAGAAATCACCCTAATTATAGTTGCAGACAGTTTCAGACAGTTCCAGGGGTTGCAGAGGTTGCAGAAAAGGTTGCAACTCAAGCTTTAAAACCCGCAGTTGCAGAAAATGTGAAAGTAGTTACAGACACTAACTTTAAATATAATTAATCTTAATAAACTTATCAATCTATCTGGATGATTATAGGACATAGTTAAAAATAATAAAGCAATGCAAAATAATTGATTGTTACAAATAAAATAATGATGTGTCATGTTATTAAATTGAATGTTACATATTTTGCAAAAAATTATATCACATTAAATTGTTACACCAGGTACATCAATATTTCTTATTTTAGTCTTGTCTTAATTGACTTTTTTTGCAAAATACATAAAAATATCCTTCATTTATTTGGGCAAATGAAGCCCACCTTCTTTAAGGATTTTGGTGCCTTTTTCTCCCTCCCAATGATGTCCTGCTTCTGATGCAGCCCAATAAATGGGTATTTGCCCAACTTGCCTAACAAATCTATCACCATTTTTCCAATAATTTTCCTTTTGATGGGACTAATGTTTAGGGTTTGTATTCATGGATACCATGAATAATGATAAAGGGTTACACAATATTAAAACAGCAAAAAGTCTCTTAAAAACACTTAATTTAATAGTGTGTGACCCTGTGTGACCTCCTTACAGTATCTGTTGAATACAAACCCTACTAATGTTGCTTAGCATAGATAAAAATCTTATCATTGGCTGTTATTGTATAGTTGGCTCAGTCTAAAGACCTCCTAAATTTTGGGAAAATTTTAAAAGTATAGAAGTCACTTTCTGTCCTAACCTTTTAAAAAAATAGCTCTATTAGTTGATAGAATATGTCTTTAGTTTTAATGTAATAGAGAGATTTTCTCAAAAAAATTATTTGTTGTAGAGTTCTATTTTTTTTAAAAAACATGTACTTTACTATGCTCGCGAAGAATTTGTCCACTATGATCATTTCTAAATTTAGGAAAAATATTACCAAATTTAGATTAGCTCTTGACTATTGTATCTAAATTTGGCAGTAAGAAAACTAAAATCAAGTTAAGTCCTATTTTTTTGAAAAATTTTATTACATTTTTGAGCGGATTAGAAAATTGCTATTTTGAAATTTGGCCGCATGGCGCAGCAACAGGAGGTCTTTAAACTGAGCCAACCATATCACAAAAATTAAGCAAGATCAACCAATGAAAAATCGCATGTACTATTAATTTTTATTATATTATATTTCTACAGAACTTATTAGATCAGTAAGAGAACAATATGATTCAAATTCTATAGCTTATTTTCACTAAAATCTAAATATATTGATATACTTAACAATCATGCAAATAGAATTAATATAATATTAGAATATTTACCCATAAGCATTTATATAATTTCTGATTTAGCTCTTCATAAACAGGGACTGCATCAACATTATTTGATTCTTGATTACCACATACTATGCAAGGACCAAAGATTTCTTTTTGTACTTTTGTTCATTTTTATTAATAATGAGACTTATTTTGATTTTTGATGCACATTTGAGTATGTAGATTATCAACAAATTTGGGTGTTATGACTGAAATAAATGAAATTTATGGTAAACTTTTGTACTAATAAAAGTCAAAACTCAAACTTGATCTTAAGGTAAAAATAAAAATAGGATTATTTTGCAAAGTTTGAAATGGTGTTGGTTAGTGTGTGCAGCACTACTTTTCTAAGTGGTACTTTTTCGATTTTACAGTACTCTTTACATATAAATTGTAGATTTTTTTCTTGAAATGTTTATTAAATGTGTGTAATGCAGATCTATCCATAAAAGGATTTTTAACTATGCTATGTTGCTTAAAGTTCTGAATTGATTTTTCCTTTCAGATCAGAACTTGTGATACCAGATTTCTCTCCTCTAAACATATGAAAAGGCAAAAGACAAAGTAAATAAGTGAATAAGCATACAGGTTCCACATATTTCTGCTGTAATTCATCCATACCTGATTAAGGTTCCTAGTCCAAACTATTTTTGAAAGGGAGTAGCTTTAAAAATAGTTTGGTCTTCTTGATATTTTTTATAAAAATGTACTATACAATCAACCTATTTTAATTTAAATAATTTAAAAATAGTTTCGCCCATTTTCAGTTATTAATAAAAAATAGTTTAGGCCTATAAATTCAGCAATTTCAGCTACTAAGAGAGAAGTAGTTTCAACCAGAAACCTCATACCTGACCACAAAAAACATATCAATGCATTTCCACACATTTACATGATACCAGGATTCTGGAAGATCTAATGTAATCTGATTCTAAAAGTACAATCTGTAAAATTATAATATAATAAAATGTTAAGTTCATATCAATGTTAGTGACTGTCTGTCCATCTAAGATGGTACTTCTTGTATTATTCAAAAGTAATGATTATTTACCAATCAGCAATTGCCATTTTTAAAAAAAATTCTTTGGATCATAATCTTGTCTTGGCTTTTATCCTTCCCCCAGATCAAGGAGAAATGAATGTAACAAGTGAATAATTGTAAATCATTTTCCAGAGAAATACTTGCTATGCTCGCAGTTTCATCTTCAACAATCATTTCACTCTTCAGCTTCCATTTGATTCATATATATATATATATAAAGGTGAGACTCAAATTCCTAATTTGAAAAGATGAATAAATAATACCATTTTGTGAATAATTCCAGATCTTTGGTACTGTAAAATAGTAAATTATAAATCACGGAAGCGAACATATAAATCGGAAATGATTTACATGTATCACGAAGTGAAAATTTGGAAACGATTATCACGGAATAACTCAAC